GAAGAATGCCCAACTAAGAGCAAAACTAAATGTCACATTGAGAGGACATATAAATGAGCACCCTCTTAAAATATATTTTTGAGATGGATGTTTTGACCCAATTATTAAGGATATATACTCTCGAACACGGAGATCATAGATATAAAAAAAATAGGGATTATCTACAAAGAGGCAATTTATCTTTCGTACATAGAGGTCACAATAAGTCCCACTCATTAAATGTCAAATTAGATAGATTGGGAGAGCCACCAAGTCTGAGAATTTTGCTTTTGGATCTTCGTGTTTATTAAATGTCACTCTTACATCCATCCACATTCACATCCGGTCGGGTCGAGTCAGGTTCTGGCTAGGGCAAGGGCTGAAAATACATTTTTCGGGCTGAGGTGTATTTTCAGCCTGAGGTCGGGCCGGATCTAAAGTAATTTGGGCCTTTTCTTGGTTCGGTTTTGAGCTCCCCCGAGCAGGCCTGGTGGCGGCCCTACTCTTATGTAAATATTATCATCTATTTTGTTTCAAGGGTACATAGTGTGTCGATACTCCACAATTCTCCTATTTTTCCCTCTTCTTAATTATCATAGGAATGGGACTGATTTTGATGGACTTTATCAATTTTGTTAAAGAAACTAGCGAGACTATCAAGTACCAGGGGATTCAGTTGGACTAAATTGCTTGGTTCCACCCATTTGATTATTTTTTATTTTTAATGTTTTGAAATTTTTTTATTTTTTTGGATTAGTTCCTACATTAAAAAATCGGTTTGATTTCGCTTAGTTTGTTGATCCCATTTGGTCCTGTCGGTATACGATCAAGCCAGCCGATCTATGTTTTAAAATACCGACTTCGTGCATGCCATGTAACTTCATCCAAGAGTTCACGACTCTGTTTCTTATGTTATCAAGTATAACTTTGGGGATGCCATTTGTTGGTTTAGAATTGGGTTGGTATTTAACATAAGGTATAGTTATATGGCCCACCCTTAATTCCTTTGTAGAAGTAAGGTTGCAGTTTTTTATATTTATTATTTAATTAGAGGATATAGATTTGACAAATCTTTTATGACGACATCAAATTTATATTGTTAAACTAAGTTGAACGGTGTAGATTACTGAAACTATCTGCAAGCAAGGTTGCCACCCTATATTAACTTTTTCCCCATTTTTTTGGGTGAATAAATTTTTCCTTCAATATAAAAATAAAACAAGTTTAAGTAATTTTAAGGATTTGAGGTGTATTTTTATTTACATATGAACGCAATATTTTATTAGGTGAGAAAAATTTGTGCATAGTCCGTATGGGAAAAATATGTTTTGGTCCATATTTTCATAAAATTTGAAGTGAAGTCCAACATTTCCGTGTGTTTTATTTTAAATTACATTTGCATACACCTCATATCATATTATTGTAATCGCGCATATTTTTTTGACAATGTTCCGTAATGTATATATAAAGGAGAATTACAAGGATTTCATACAATAAGATCATGCAAAAATATCAAATTCGGCAAATCAACACCTTTCTTTGCCAAGAGATCAACAAACTCTTTATCTTCCCTATACACATGCTGAAATGTGACATTCTTCTCACGCACCAGATCCATGATCTCCATCAACTCCAATATCAATATCTATGGGACCCTTGATATGAAGTTACACCAATTAATAACATTCAAGGATTCCCCCTCGGCAATGCACGTGAGTTGAACATTTTGATCCATGACAAGTTTCAAACCTTGAAGCACTGCCAGCAACTCTGCTTCATTAACCTTTCTCCACATGGACCTGCATAACAAAACAATATTTCCCCTCCATAATCTCTAAAGATTCCCTCCATCCTGCTCAGCCCGCCTTACCCATCAAACTACCATCACAATTAATTTTAATACTACTCTCCAAAGGCACTACTCAACGCCCAATGGGTCTCGATTTGATCATCTGTTGTGCCATAACATTAGTAATATTCACTTCGAAATCAACTTTAGAAACTCCAAAACCTTCCTTTGTAAAACCAACTCCATAAGGTATGTAATATCCTCTTTTAAATCACTAATTAGAAACAACCCCTCAAAAACTCTCCTATTCCTTTCCAACCAAACCTCCCAACCTTACCAATCTGAAAAATCATACAACCTACCTTAGGTAACCCATCAAAAGACAATTATTCAAGAATGTGAATATGATTTTGAGGCAAGGTACAATTTACAAAAAAACCAGAACCAAATGTCATAGGTAAAAGGGCAATCAAGGAATAAATGATCTCCATTTTCATCACATTCGTTGCAAAGCATGCAAATATTGGTTACAATCCTTCCTGTCTCAATCAACTTTCCAATTGTCAAAGTTTTTCCTTGAAATATCACCCAAAGGAAGACTTTTACTTTTTGTGGACCTCTCTAAGATCAAATTTTATGCAACAAAATATGATAAGGTGATTTACCCGAAAAAGAACCATCACATTTGCCTCTCACATCAATTCACCCTTAAAGCTTTGGAATAATTTAACTTTATCCAGCAAATTTAATAGATATGTTATTTGGCTGATGAAGTCATCTTTCACCCTATTATACAAGCACTTTACATCCTAAACCCTCCTCTCCATAATAAATAGATCATTGATTTTTGCCAATGGATCACTTACGACATTGAAAATCAGTGGACACAAATATTTCAAAGGATACTCCCCAACCCACTTCGCCTGCCAAATAGGATGAGTCGTTCCATCCCCAACCTCCCATCGAGAGCACCTGATCATGATGCTTTTAAATCTACATAGCCAGTCTTGGAATGAAATCCCGATCGAAAGATAGTATGTATCTCCAAAATAACAGGCTAAACTTACAACGATGAAATGGTTTCAACTCCTACTGATCTGTCATAGTTTGTTTCTTAACTCCAACAAGAAGGATGAATGGATTTGGCCATTGAACACATAGGGCTTTTTCACTAGGGCTGAGAATTTACCTAGCTTGTATTCAAAATATGAATTTCGAAAATTCCCTGGAAAATTATAAAAAAATAGTCCAAAAATCCTTAGAAAATTAGGAAATTCCTCCAAAATACTTAGAAAATTAGGAAAGAAACAAGAAAAGCATAGAAAAATAGAAAATTTGACTAAAAATACCAAGGGAAGAAGAAAAAATCCTAAAACCTCTAGAAAATTAGGAAAAGCCTCTAGAAAGTTAGGAAAAATTCCTAGAAAACCTTAGGCTAGAGACCCTAAGTCGAAATCCTCTTAAAATCTATTCAAATTAAGATCGAAATTTAGGAATAAGTTGTCTTAGATCCAAAACCTTAGAATCATTCATAAAAAATGCAAGAGAAGGCATTCAAAGGTGTAAATCAACCCGTAGTCCTGATGCGGTTCTCTCTCTTTTATTTATTTATTTATCCATTTTTCTATTTTATTTTTATTTATTTTTCTGGTTGTTTTTTTATTTCTTAAATTCTAACTAGAATTTAAGCTTTTTAAAGTTTAATAAACGGATTCTAAAGCTGGCGCAGCCAGTATATTTAGAGATTTAACTCATTTCACAAGAGATTTAAGTTGATCTCACTCATAGATTGATCTGAATTCATGTGTAAAC